GGTAATAAAATAATTGCTGATGTAATATTTTCCCTATAATTATACAAAAACACAAAATAAGTATAAATTAGTATTATGTGTACAAGCTGTGTAGATTGTCAAAAAGCCTGTGTTTTTAGGGTTATTAATGAAGTTCGTGTACTAAGACCAGTAATATTTGGGGTCACAAGTTTTTGCCATGGATATTTTGTGGGTCAGAAGATAAAAAGCTTGGGAACCACTGCTCTAGGAGATATTTGCTCTCTGTAAAAATCTGTTACAAACTGTGTAAAAAGTACAGACTTCAGACTACACATCAGTTTTTAAATTGTGTTGATAGACCAAGTAAAACTGGAGTTATGATAAAAAAATTACAGAACTTTAAATTATTTTTTGTCATATTTAAAGCAGAGAGGAGCATCGAGCAGACTGACCGGGGGAACCTCCAGTCAGTCTGCCTGGCGGCATTAATCGTATGCTAATAACTGTCAAGTGCCAAAAAATAATCGATTAAAGTTTTTCTAACAATTAATTGCACGCGATTAATTGCCCAACCCTAAACTAGCTGTCAGTGAGTAATCACCACATAGACAACTAAAACCGATTGACCTTTGGAGTCCACCAATTTCAAGACGGCTACAACTTGACTTTCGCTAACACAAACATGGTTATCACAYAGTCAAGTTTACAGAGACTGAGATCAAATTTGGTGTGGCGGCGGTCACAAGACTTGTGTTTATAAATTTACATCACTATACTGTGCAGCATCAGCAGCTCACGCTAAGCACCAACTGTAAACTGATTGTTGTTTAAAGAGGTCCAAAATTCTTATTTTCAATTTTTTCTTCACACTTTCTTTCTCTTTCTTTCTTTCATGTGCATACTTAATAAAAAGACATGTTTTTAAACTTTTATGTGATTTTAAATAGACTCCCTGAGGCTAAAGGAGGGGGGGAAATAAAATAATAAAATAAAACTCCAACTCTGGAAACCTGAAGAGAGATAATTCTCGTCCCAATCACAAGAGGGCGCCAAATACAAAATTGAAGCTGTAAAAAAACGACAAATTAAAACGTTATTTGGATCACAAAATGCTTGTAACTTTAGTTATAACGATACTTTTTATATATAGGTAAATTAAAGAAACGCAACCTACATATCAGTTGTATAAAAACAACATAAAGGCTGGAGTTTTACTTCTTTATTTTTTTTTGCAAGCTGCCTATGCCTATGTATATCAGGGGTTTCCTGCGTCAACTGGAAAAAAAAAAAGCAAACAGTTTCTCTTCCTTAGCAATGAAACAAACATTCGTTCATTGTATGAAAATACATTTGACTCACACACACATGAACACACACACGGGCTGACAACGCCCCTTTAAACACTAAATGCCGGAGAGAGCCACAGAGTTACGACCTGAGCAAAAATATCCGCGGGCAAAAAAAAGTCACCAAGTGTTTCTTTTAAAAAAATAATAACAACTGTTTCCTCATAAATTACAAAGTGGAATAAACTCATATGTTTTCGTGTCTGTTTCACACAATCTCATCGAAAAGTGTTTTCATGATTTGCTTTCATCATTTCATTAAACCCAAATAAATTGCATTTTTTTACTCACCGAGTTTAAAGGAAGCAAAGCTGCGCGAAATTCCAGGCTATTAAAAATGAATTTGAAATACTAAATAAAATAAAAATAAATAAATAACTCCTGGCAGTTTCACGCATATAACACCGGGAATCGAACTCGAAGCCCCCTCGTTTTAAAAACCAGGAGAGGATTTTAAAAAGAAGCGTCCGCTGTGGGGGGAGGGCTCGAGACCTGGAGCTGGGTGTGGTTACAGTGAATCTGTGCCTCGAGGTGTTGTTGTCCGGGTTGGGGACAGACGCAGCACGGCACTTCTAGGCTATTAATTTTTAGGGCAATATGTGCGCGGAGGGATACAATGGTGACGAAAAGTGTCTGTCAGTTTATGAGTTTGTGTTTCCCTCCTCACATGGCTGACAGAGTGGAAAAGACACAGGGGAAAGGAACAAATAAGCCAGACAGAGGGGGAGACAAAAGGAAATTAAGGAGATAAAAGGGATGAAAAGTTAAAAAAAAAGAAGGGAAAAGCTAAGTAAAAACTGAAGGAGGGAAATGAGTTAGCTCCATTTAAACAGATGTTTGCAACATTGACCAACTTGACATTCTGTTGTCTTAGACCTTGTTTAAACTTTGCACAGCATAACTTTCACTACAAGATGCAAAGGTATAATTCTATTGTAAAACAAATAATAAATTAGACAAAAAGAGAAAACTTAGACATGCATGAGTACCAATCAGCCACAAAATTGCATTTTTCCTCATCCATTTTTAAACCTTTTTTTTTTTGCACTTTAAAGAGTAACTTACCCCAAAATTAACTTTTTTAGCTGATAAACTGCCTAGAATGTGTCTAAAATGTTATATAGTACTATTTCTGTGCTAATTTTGATGTTTTTGTGCGTATTTGTTCAAATCTGTAATATTTGGTCTAAAAAAGTGTTTTTGCTGCTCATATGGGTAGAGCAGTGGTACTGCAGGCTAATTTGCATATTGGTTAACGGCTCTCCACGGTGACATGCTTTTCCACGG